AAAGCCGTTTATGAAAAATGAAAATACGAATCGGAGTGAAATATACGCTAAATACGCCATTGGCCACTGCAGAATGGTTTTGCATTTATCGCAAAAAATAAATAAATAAGAAAAATGTACAAACGATGCGCACCTTCCTTGTAAATCTTCTAGAAACCTAACAACTTGCCTTATAATGAAGCCGGCCCGCCTCTGTCGAGCAATTGAAAGACCTCCACAAAGCGAATTTGATATTATAAAAAGGAAATCTCTTTTGTTCTCATGAAACAATTGCTCCCAGCGGACGGGCGATATTAAAGTGGCGCACATTTCTTACGCTCCTCGCAGGGGGTTATCTTATCTCGCTCTGTCCCCTAGATAACCACCGCCAGTTGGCGGAGATGTATCTCGTTAATGTGGCCGGTACCGACCGCGTATCGGTCAGTAACTTACAATTGTACAATCCCCTAATGGCACTAAGGCTTTTATTAAAAAAAAAAAGAAATACGACGGTAATAGAAGAGCGAGAAAGACCAGAATTGAAAACACGGGTTGCGCGAGGCGGGATGTGACGTGTGATTTAGTGTGACTCATGTTTATGACGTGTGATTCAGAATGGGACATGTGACTGTGATGTGTGACTTGGCTTATATTTACACAAAAAACTATAAAGACTATACAAAATTTATTAACATAAAAAGTTAGCACATGATGAATTTATTACTATTTCAGGATTCTGTCTTGGGTCCTTTATTAATCGTTATCTCCGTCAATGATCTTTATCACTATTGCAGTGCACTTTGAGGATTATACAACATTTATAATATCAGCGAGAAACAATTATGAATTACATACAATTACATTCTTACATTCTACTCGAGAAGAAATCGCTAATAGGGCAAGTGGATTGTTTTTGTTGAATAAAATAAAATTTTATTTAGTCAAAATCAATATATGCAACTCTCTTCTAATAATTAAAAATGTAAAAATTACTTCTTTACATAAGAGGTTTAACAGGTAAATTCATGTAAGTGAGTAAAAGAAAATGCTTTCTTGTTCTGAAAAAAAAAACAGACTAGTTCTTACTTTGAAAATCTTTTCTTTGTTTCAGTGTCATATTGATTAAGGAATGTTACTTTGGGGTAGTTTTTCACATGCTATTAAATCTTTTCGAATGCAAAAGAAATATATGTATTAGGGTGTTAGCAGAGATTAGTTACTATGATCACGATAAACCACATTTTTAAAAGTTCGAAACAACGCTTTTACCTATTTCATTTATATTTCAAGTTCTAATTGAAATTTATAAGAAACAGTCTAGTCTCATTCAAGCAGTCTGATGTTCATAAACACAAACAATATTTTCCATTGTTTTTATTCTGCAGTTTTTAATCTATTTTTCACCTAACAACTATTTTTAATGTCCTTGTCCTACTTATACTTGAATTTTTATATCAGTTTTGACTTGCTGCAGTCATAATTTATGTAATGTGGGCAAGTAACATATAAATATAAGCACAGATTTGAGGAATTGTGATGTGTGATTTAGTGTGACTTATATTTGCGACGTGTGATCTGACTGTGATATGTGACAGTGATGTGTGACGTTGCTTACATTTAACGTCTACTATTCTGTCTATTGTTACGTTGTGGTACATGTATTAGCTATCAAGATAAAGTATGTTCTAAGTTCTTCTAGACCAGCGCGATCGTTAATGTTTACGCACGGTTACCCAATTAAATTTCCACCATTACAGATACGATTCCGATCCCGGATACGTAGATGTCTGCCATATCTACATATCTATCAATGCCCCTTTGTGGTATATCGCTTGTTCGCCATTCCATTACGTCGAATGCAGCAAATTTGAGGGCGGTTGTTTGGCGGCGGAGGCGCGTGTTCTGTTTCGGTGTTCGGCGGCACCCCTGCGGGATTCAGCCCTCTGTTGTCTCAGCTAGTTGGGCGTGAAGCGGCAGAAATGTCACTTTCAATTGTGTGTGGGCCGGTCGGGGGTAATACGGCGGATACACGGATGATTGTGTTTGCATTATTTCGGCGTGCCGGGGCACAAGGACGACGGGAATTTCCCTGTTTCTCATCAATTATAACATACAGGGTGAACCATGAATGTGTACAATTACGGAGATTTTAATTTTGTAAAATCCGTACCTTTACATGATTTTAGCGAAAAAATCGAGATTTTGAGCTATTTTTGAGGTGATGGAGTTTTTCTGATGGCTCCATCGTCTTTAGCGGGTCAAAATACAGTCAGGGATATCATGCTTTGTTAAAAAGTATATAAAAAAAATATTTCGTTTTATTCGACTTCAAAAAAAAAATTTTTTTCGAACAAAAGTTATCAGGTTTCGAGGGGATCAAAATATGACGACCTTGAATTTGACCTTGAAGTTATCAAGGTCATTTAAAGGTCAACCTTGATTTTTTAAATGAAAGCCCATATTCGAGGGGATCAAAATATGACGACCTTGAATTTGACCTTGAAGTTATCAAGGTCATTTAAAGGTCACCCTTGATTTTTTAAATGGAAGCCCATATTCTTTTATTGCAGATTCGTATTCTGCGGGAAAAATTACGTAACTTTTGTATGAAACATATTTTTTTAAAATGTTATACTTTTACTGTTCCATTTTAATTCTCAGGCTAACCTCAAGAAATAAGCAGGATGGTAAAAAATATTTCCCACAAAAGTTGTCAGGTTTTGGGGGATCAAATTACTGTGACCTTGAATATACCTTAAAGTCAATTATCAAGGCTATTTATCAATTATCAAGGTCAACTTTGACTTTTTAAATGGAAACTCATATTTTTATTACAGGAAGCATTTTCAAGAAAAATGTTTCATACGAAAGTTAAGTATTTTTTCCAGCAGAATACGAAACTGTAATAAAAATATGGTTTTCCATTTAGAAAATCATGGTTGATCTTGAAATGACGTTGATAATTGATTTTAAAGTTAATTTTAAGGTCACGGTAATGTCATCCCCCCAAAACCTGACAAATCCTTAGACCTTAGAAATTAAGATTGACCCTGAAATGACCTTGATAATTTACTTCAAGGTCACCATAATTAGACACCCTCGAAAGCTGATACTTAACTGTTTTTCGAAATATTTTTTTATAAAAGTCGAATCAAATGAATGGTACATTAAAGTGGAACACTAGCGCACCAAGTAAATGCGAGTTTGTCAAATAAATGCATGGCGAATTTTATTTGAAATAATTTTGCTTTATACTGCAAGTTAAATCTAACTTTAATGCTTTGTGACGGATTCTAGTTTAAAATATAATAACTGGTTTTATAAGCAAATTAAAATTAAACTACGCAATAATCATAACTTTAATTTTATTAAATTTATTTAATAAGGAAAATTGTAAACGATTGAAAATTTAATTTCAGCAGATTAAATACTATAATAAAGTTTATAATTGCAGTATTAATAAATTACGAAACGTAACAAATAAACGCATAGCTAATTATTCAAAAATAAGGTTCTTAAACAGTTAGATACACAACAAAAATTAAGTTTACGAGTATAATTGAGGTTATGAGCAACAAAATGGCCTAACCCCAAAAAATAAGTTTTGCGTAAAATGAACAAATAAAAAATGTAGAAAAGCTTGCTACTTTGTAAGCACTAAATAAAACAAACTTTTATCGATTTTTAATTGGTTTAACGTAGTTAATAGACTAATAGTTGAAGTGAAGTTCTTAAATTTGCAATTTTTTGAGTTTTTTTGTAAAAAAATGAGGGTTAGGCCATTTTAGCATAAAGTAATTTATGAAAAATCAGATAGGGCAACAAATTAACATGTCTATATGTAGACGAACTTTGTTTATTTCAGAAAGAACAATAATAATAAAACTAAGATACAATGTAAAACATAAATAAATAATGATATGCACTAATTTGCAAACAACTGCGGTTTACAGCTCAAGGATTTCTTCTTCATTCTCGCTGAACTCAACATCTATGAAATCTTCCGATGCATTTTCAGCTGTTTGTAGGCTCTGGTAAAAATTTAAATGAACAGGCGGTATATATTGTGACAGTTCCAACAAGTTTTTTCTTTTTTTTTATATCTATTAGATGACCATTGGGATATAAAATATTCAAATCCTTTACAGAAACTGCTCTAGATGCACGTCTTTTACGTATGTCTACTGTTTTAAACTCCACGAACTCATTATTGGAATTTTTCTATTTAATTAAAAACCGCTCTTCTTTCGTAAACTGTAGCAACTGAATTTGCAACCAAGACACTTTCTCACCGTCAGTTGTCTTTTTTCGGTTCCATAATAACTGTATCTACTACAGTTAACAATACGGAAAGAAATTACTAACAATATATGTATACTTACCTATGTCCGAGCCACTGTTTTCTGGAGAATTCATGCTGTAAACACTAGTGTAATAACTAATTTTTGCATTAATTAAGTTGACGATCTCACTACCACGCTTACAAACATTTACTTAACACATTGTGGAAGAACGGCCTAAACTACAAATTATGAAGCTTAGGCCGGTTTACCATTAAAGATTCGCAACCTTTTATATTTGCCAAAACAATACTACCTGCGCCATCTAGCGTTTCGAAGCCAAAGGTGGCTTCAGCTCATTTGCATCTAAAAGTTATAATGGTAAAAAAGCGTTTGCATTGGTTTAGCCACAATGTCATATTTGTGGATTAGGCCATTTTGCCGCTCATAGCCTCAATTGTGTCACGTTGCTGTGAATTTAAAAATTTGGGAGCAACTTTTGATAATAAATCAACTTTTATTCCTCACAAGAATTACATTACAAACAGTTAATAACACTTTGCTACTTTTTATTACAGTATTCAATGCGTTTAATTCGGGACCAATTAGGAATCGTGTTTACAATGAAACACGTATTTTTTTTTTTAGGTCTGGCCTTATAAAAAAGAGAAGGAAAAAATTGAGGAAGATCAGTACCATATGTTCCTTTGAATAATATGGGTTAGGGATGGTCCTACTTACCTCCTATGCTAGCATTATAGGCGACTCCTATACCGCAGAACTGGTTGTAGGCCACAGCGGCCACCTCACCAGCGCACCTGGTGCCGTGCTTGTTGTCTCCGTTGTCCTGGGGCATGGGGTCGTCGTCGTTACCGTTGATATCTGTACTGGCCAGCGGATCCTGTAACAAAAACGGAAAAGTGTCAGCCTTACGTTCCTAAGATACATTTATTAAAAAAGCATTTGTCTGGCTTTTTTTAGAAAGTGGTTGAAAATTGATATTTTGAAATACACACAAGTAATTAAATAAAATGTTTAAATTGAACAACCTTGAACATTTTTTTAAAAGCCAACAAAAACAACCTGGTATGCCAAATTTTCATTCCTTGACCCCTAGACCATTTTGATGTAGTATTTTGTGACAATAAAAACAAAACTATCACCGGCGTTTAGTTTGTAAGTGTCATTTTATCAGTTTTACGTTTCTTTTAAAAATGCATTTATCTGAGAAAGAACGTATTGAAGTACTTATGGTGATTGATATTGGAGACAGAGTGTGTACTCAACAAGAAGTGTGCAATTTATTTAATGTAATTCGTCCTGATCGACAATTACTAGATCTACTGTCAGCAAAATTGAATTGAAATTTGCCGAGCACGGCCATCTTAGAGATTTACCTAAAGGAAGACCAGCAGAGATATCAGAAGATTTTAAACTATACGTTTTACAAGGAACTGTAAATAATCCCCATGATTGTAGCCGTTAGGACAATCTCCAGGAATTGTAATTTGTCATCGGGATTTGTGTCACAAATACTCCGAAGAATAAATATCGCCCTTATATGGTTCAATTGATACATGAACTATTAGAAGATGATTTTGACCGAAGAACGCAGTTTTGTGAGAAGATAATTGAGATAAATAATTAACACTTAGATTTCACCCGAAAGATTCATTTTTCTGGTGAGGCTACTTTTGTTTTAAATAGACACGTAAACAGACAAAACTGCAGGTACTGGGCAACTGAAAATCCTCATTGGATTCACACACAGCTTCGTCAAAAAATAAATGTTTGGGCAGGTATTGTCGAAAACCGAATTCTTGGACCTTATTTTTTTGAAGAAAATTTAAATGGAGTGCGCTACTTAGACTTTCTTAAGTTTGAACTCATCCCCGCTTTAGCTGTTGTGTTTCCTAATCCACAAGACCCAGATATTCCTCATAATGACATATGGTTCTAACACGATGGGGCACCTCCTCATTTTGCAATTGCTGCTCGACAATTTCTTAACTTTCCCTAATACTTAAATGGATTGGACGCAGAGGTCCTATTGAGTGGCCACCAAGGTCACCGGATTTAACCCCTTTAGATTTCTTCTTATGGGGTTATTTGAAATCTAAAGTTTATGTAGAGCAGAGGTAATTGAATACGTTCAACGGGAAACAATTCTTCGACTACAAAAATGTATTGAAGTAAACGGACAGAGCATTGAACATTTATTATAAAGCAATCGTTATGTAAATAATGTTCTATGATTAAACAAATTTTTTTCCATTTATCACATTTCTAACGTCATTATTAGGAAAACCGCTGATTTTAGAGATACGGTAGGTTATACAAAAAGTGTTCAAAATTTACCGTACAATTTAAAAATGTGTTCCATTAAAAAAATCAATGACAACTGTATATGTTCTTCTTGAGACACCCTGTATACAATTTTCTGATGTCAAAAAATCCGCAACTAAAAATACTAATCGACGTGTCCGAGGGTTTTTCCACAAAAGAATTATCTGCATTTTAAACGAATTTGTTGCTTTAATCATAAACGCACTGTATATTATTTTAAATATACCTTCAACAGTTGACTGTTTTCAAGGAAACTAGTCTTTATTTAGAAGAACGGAACAGCAATTGAGGGCGTCTACACCCCCTAAAAGCCCCGTATGTCGGTAGATTGGTAAATTTCCGGGTTGCTCGGATCGCAGTCCGCTGAAAAATTGTATTTCGGCTTCCGGTAGGTGTAATACCGGCGACATTGTCTTTATTGGATTACACGGTAAACAATATTTGAGGAATGCCGTGCGACTGCGGGGGTAACGAGCCGACGCGGTCCCCTGTGTTCTCCGATATAAATTGGACGGGTTTTATTCGGGCACGGGAAATATGCGGTCCCCCGGATACCTCGTAAAATCTATACGCTTTCGGTGGCTTCCAGAATTTGTCGAACACCCAAGAAAAAAATATCTGTCGTTATTTATCTAGATCCGCTAAATTGTAGTTCCCCGTTCTTGGAAGCTTTTGGTCATTACACTCGTATGATTACAAATTTTTCTCCGTTATCTTTTCATTATAAGTTACGACACGAGAAAATAACAATGGCGCAAACCGCATCTCTCTAAATGCTACCGTTTTCGAGCTTTTCGATTTTTCTTCTCGAAAACGGTAGCAGACAGAGAGATGCGGTTTGAGCCATTGTTACTTTCTCGAAAAAGAGCTCTGGACTCATTCATTTGCTATATCTATGACAGATTCGCAGTAACCGTTGAAACCGGCCAATTTGAACCCCCTTTTACTGGTGTCCCTTGTACAGAAACTTTTTCTGTGGGCCTGTGTTTTTTGCTATTCATATCTACCTACAGACATGGAGTGAGAATATGTGTTTAAGACATCAAAAATAGATGGATCAACTAATAACTTTGAAACCGGTATATGCCTGGTGGTTTCGACTGATGAATGGTCTTAATTGTTTATTAGATATCACTAAAATACATGCTTTGACTTTTTTGACTTTTGACTGAAAAGTGTGAAATTTCAGTCTTTTAGTAAAAAAGGGTATTCTTGGTCCATATTGGTAGAATGTTCCATTTTTGTGTAAAATCCGTTTAAAAATAATGTTACATATGTAATATTTTTTATTTTCGCAGGTTTTGAATAACAAGAACGTGTTTGGCGTTATTTGCTTTGACAGTTCAGTTATTTACTTTTTGCGAATTTTTATTTTCACAGAAATTTATTATTTTTAGTAAATTATTATTTGACAAAGTAAAAAAAAAACAGTTGAAATTATTAAATATACAATAAACTAATAAATATAATGGAAAACCACACTATTAATAAAACTTATCTTTTTATAGCAAATGCTCAAAAAGATTTCGATTTTGCTGAATACATTTTTCAGCTCGACGTCGAATTGCCCGCGAAGACCTCAAAATTTCAAAATTGTTTTGTCTGATTTGATTCGCAGCCAAATGAATCCTCTGTTGTAATTCATCCAAAGGATTTATTTCTGTAGCAGCGTAAACTACAGCCTTCATCCTACCCCACAGAAAGTAATCTAGAGGATTTAGGTCTAGAGATCGAGGTGGCCATGGAATGGGGCCACCTCTACCTATCCACCTGCCAGGAAAATGATCGTTTAACCAATTTATGACATTATGGGTAATATAACGTACTAATTTTTGAAAATGTCACGTTACAATAGTGCTGTTTTTGTTTCAAAGCAACGACCAAAAAAACGAAATTTAATAATTTTTATCAGTGACCTGAGTGCCAACAAAAAGAACCCTAATATTTATTGCTAAACTTGCAAACTTTTGTCGTTTTTTTTTTCGTTAATTATTTGCGTTTGTTTCGTTTTCAAGTTCAATTTATTTTATGAAAAATGACATTAAATAATTTTTTGAAATAATTGTAATTTTCTCGCAATATCTCGCTTGTTATTTGAGATAGACCCATCAAATCTACATCACTATATTCGTAAGAAAAGCTTTATCCGAATATGAAGAAATATACAGGCTGTTTCATAAGAAAAAACAAATTTATTGGCTGTCCAGCTTTGCTGGGTCACCCTGTATACAACTGAATCATAATAAAAGATGCCCTTTCCGAGAACAAAATCGACCTGTCTCGGAGTTTTTTTTTTAAATCATTCAGTATAAAAGTTATGAATTTTGTTCTTTTTATCATCACGCTGTATATCTTAATTTATGAATGTGGCTACATAATTTTCTATTCCGCTGAAACTGATGCATTTTCAGTAAATCATTTTCCACGTTAGTAATAACTTGAAAAAAGCATTTAAACCCGAAAATAAAAAATCTCTCGAACTCCACTTGTGCTAAGTGGCCAATTAATAAACTGAAGTACGCAACTAAAACCGAATTGCATCGAATAAAACAACAACCGCACGCGAAATCGCTTTTATATCCGCAAACCGTAATATCGTGTTTACCCTTAAATGCGTTTTTCCCAGAAAATCTCGAACGGTTAATTAATATTTCCAATTGTTCGATTCTTCCTCAGGGCATGTTCAGAAATTTCGGTAATATTCACGCATTTCATTCGATAACGAGAAAAAAGTGCTCGAATGGCTGATTTATATTGAAAATTGTGTGTCTAAAGAAAAATATGGGGCTTATAAAAATAATGCCTACATATCAAAAGACGGTGGTTTTGTTAAAAATGTTTTCCTAGTTTTTGATTTCAGGGTAAAACCACAACTGCATCTTATTCTTTTTTCTTGATTAAATCAATCTTGAGCAAAAAATAAATACACTAGTGGTTGTACCTTATGGAAAAACAAAACTGAAAAAACTGAGAAGACCAATGTCCGGAATTATGTTTGACAACACTTAGTTTAATAATGCAAAATTCAGTTCTGTTCAGAAGGTGATTTTTTTATCGCGAGAAAACCAATTATGGTTAGACAAGTTTTAGCAGACTCCAGTTTCGTCAAATGCCGTTTGATTGGTTATAATGTAACGAGTTTTTATCTATTTTTTTTATAGATGATGTAATTTGTTTAATATTGCGCTATTAAATAGGCTTGACTGTGACAAATTTGCAAAATATTGACAAAGTTAGTGCGTTCTTGTTCCACATATTTGTAAGTATTTTATTCTTTCCATTCGACAGAGGCACCCACCATGATACTGAAAATAAGCATTTTTACACTGATAAAAGTTGTGGAAATTTACATTTTATATTTTTTGTGGAAATATGCGAATAGAAGTGAATTTACACTGACCCGTTTTGACTCACAATCAGATTAAACACGTGAACACCCGATGCAATGTTATCACGTGTGAGGAAAGAACTTTGCTAGCAGTCTAGTAGACCACATGTTTAGATTCATTTGTGACGTAGTGATACAGCATACTTAAACTAGGTCAGTAAATATAA